TTGATCAATTCCGACGAAATTAAAATTAAAATTTTTCGCGCACTTCCCGCGCATTTGTTAGGGTTACAGCTTGTGCTTGCCCTCCTTTACCTTCTAAGTTATTTACAAACCTAATAGTCCCAAACATGAGAAAGAAAATTTAAGATAGATCGTTTTACCTAAAAGAAGGGCCTCAATGTGTAAAGGAAAAGGAAAGGAGGAAGCTGTCTCTTATACACATCTAGATGTGTATAAGAGACAGCCCCTGTTACGCGCCTTCTTATAAGTGGGGCTCCCCCCCCACTTTGAAAAACGTTCCGCCGGCCCTGATATATATCTGCATAATATACATAGATTTTTGTTTTGCCTAATTTAAAAAAATATATAGTTTGTCAATTGAACTAATTTATATATATAGACGTTATTAAACAATAATTTGACGGTAGTGCTTCCACTCACAATAATGTAGTCGCAATACACTTGCACAAAAGTGAAATTTAAAAAGAGGAGAAAAGGACAAACTTCTTGATTGATTTTAAAAGTACTGTACATGCCAGGGGCGGATACATGAGGCCCCGCCAGTCTCGCCGGAAATAAAAAGTAAGGAGAAAAAAATTGAGAAGAGTAAAAAAGGCCAGAAGACGGAGACCTAAGACGATTACAGTGCCCAGCTAGAACAGCTGGCCATGCTCATGGCGTTAACGCATATGCGCTCTCGTGCGGAGGTCCGCAGGGTAACTGACCCAACTTACCCCCACCCCTTCCGTTCCCCTACCCATAGGGTCCTCGCTCTAAAGCACACTGATCCAAAAGGGCTTTGTTGATACATAACAGCATTGACTGTAAGACATATCATATTAATCCAGTGGGGTGGGATTCCCAGCCGGCCAGGACCCCTACATTTGTCAAAATAAAAAAAAACAATGAGATAAAATATTCAAACGTCTGAATGAGTGTCATGTCCGGGCATCTAGAGCAGTGGCGGCTCTAGGATATATTTTCTGGGGGGGAGGGGGATTGAGCTGGCCGACAGGGGACTTGAGCTAGTAGGCCTGAGCTGGGGGAAGGGGTTGAGAGGGGGGTTCCCCCTCCCAAATGAGATTTTTTTTAAAAGAATACCAACCTCTGGATGGCTGAAAATGGCACTCTCAGACTGTGACAGACATGTGTTGGCTTGGTGTGGGCCTATTTTTATATGTTTTATGGTCTGACTGCCCGACGAGCTATGTCCGGCGGTGGGGGGGCTTTAGCTGTCCGGTGGGGGTGGGGCTTAAGGTCCTGCCCCCCCCCCCACTGATCTAGAGGTGTCATAATCATAATTTTCCGAGTATAGAATAGATTATTAGGTCCTTAATTATACCTTTGCGACGCCCGTGAGGGGAGAGGTGTCTAAAAATGGGGAGCATAGCTCCCGTCGTGCATGCAGCAGTCAATAATTTTGTCGAGGAAAACTGCTTTGAAAAAACATTTTTACCATTGAGAGTGCCATTTCCGAGTGTCTACAGAAGGAGCCTATTCAGAAAATTTGCTCACCTCAGCCCCAACCATCGTTGGGCTGAGGTGGGTGTCAGCCCAAACCATCGTTGGACTGAGGTTGGTGTGGGTTACCTATTGGCCCCTCGGTCAGAAAATTTCTGTGTCCGCCCCTGCGTGCAAATTAGAGACTAAATTAGAGTTAATGTTTTAAGTTTATCTTTGCCATTATTTGTATAAATGTTAGTTTGCATGAAATATTATATAAGCCGGCATGATTATGATTACTAAAATAAACTGAAAAACCAGCCGGCCCACCCTGCCTAATTTTTTCAATATTTTAAATGAGAAACCAAAAAATTATATTAAAATTTAAGTCTGAGAGTGCCATTTCCGGGCAACTTGAGGTGTCATAATCATAAATGTTCTTACCTCAGCCCCAATCATGGTGGGGCTGAGATGGTCTACACTCCATCTGTGAAAGTCACTCCTAAGCCCTCTCTATTTCAAATTCCTGGATCCGCCACTGTATTTTGAAAATGTAGTGTTGAAATAAATGTTGCATGCATTAAAATCAATACGACTTATAATAGGTCATAGACCCCAGAGCTCTTGGCAACGGCGGCGGAAGCGGGAGGGGGAAAGGGACCACTGGCCCACCCATTTTTTCTACTGGTGGTCCTGGACCCCCCACCCCCCACTTTTGTGGCTGTTCCCAGCACCAGTGACGAACATTTTACGAACGCTGCAATGTCATTATTATTATTGTTATTGGTATTGTTTGTTGTTATTATTATTATTATTATTATTATTATTATTGTTTATTATTATTATTATTATTATTATTTGGTGCTTAGAGACCTTGTTTATTTACGCCTTATAAATTGACCTGTTATTATTATTATAAAATATAGATTTTTTTTTCATTTTCATTACAAGTTGAGATTTTTTTGAGCTGAGCAAATAAATGTTGATTGACGTCTGTATACGCGCGTCTGTAAAGTTTTCTTGAGACCACACTCGAGCATGAGAAAAAAGAATGGACTCGCCCGCCTTCGTGAATTCTGTATTTAGGCATGGGGGAGCAGGGGCGTACCGTGGGGGGTCGATGGGTGCGGTCGACCCCCCTTTTAAAGAAAGTGCCCTTTAAATATGCTCGCTTCACTCACAAATAACGCATCCCGCGAATTCTGAAAGCTTCGCTAAATTGCTCCGAGTTCAGCTTGCCCCCTGCGCTTTCGTTTCGACCTCCCGCCCCCCCTTAGATTTTTCAGCGTACGCCCCTGGGGAGGCCCTCTTTATGGAGCGACGCTTTTTATGCTAACCATGAAGATGTACAGTAAGTGTAACTGATTGGCTTAAAGTAAACCTTCAAACTAGCGTAATATAACCACATTTAAACTCCATTTTATTTAACGAAATCAATAAGATATTTAATTAATTAGGCCATTTTTAAAATAAAGTTCTCTGAATGTTAACTACAGAATTTACAGTACATTTTCATTTTTATTTCATTTCATTTATTTCGTCTCAGTAAAATACATAAAAAACAACCGGTTACAATACAACATAGTAAAAGTATAAAATATCTGAAACAGGCAGAGACAGGATTCCTAAAAGTGAACCAAATCACTCTCATGTGATGTTGTAAAAACTGTATTGATTAAAAAAAAATCTTTCGAATAAAAAAAGAAATCTTTCGCTTGACATTAGGCATTAGTATTTGTGAAAAAAAAAATTGATAGGCTATGTCAAATGTTATATTGAACAGTGGCAGAATCAGGGAAGCCCAATCAGCACGGGGCCCCAAAACCCTAATTTTTTTCATAATTATTTTTTAAAAATTGAGAAAGCAGACAAAATTGTATTCAACTTTTAATCTGAGAATGCCATTTCAGACCATTTGGAGGTGCCACAATCATATTTTTTCTTACCTCAGCCAAAACCGTCGTGGAGGCCCTCTGTCGGGGAGGAAAAAAAAGGTAGGCCTATGCCTATATGTATTTCAATAGACTCTAAAATCGATTAATTTAGCATTTCAAACCCCTAAACTGTCATTTTTCGGGGCTTCTCCCCCTGGACAGGACGACTTTTGAAAGATTTTGAGCGACCCCGACCACGTCCAGTTTGCTCTCGTCAGAAAAATCGCCTCTCCTCCCCCTCCCCCCAGGGAACTTGGACCCTCCTTCGGGCAAATCCTGGCTCCACTCCATTTATTTATTTATTTATTTATTTATTTATTTATTTATTTATTTATTTATTTATTTATTTATTTATTTATTTATTTATTTATTTATTTATCCATCCATCCATCCATCCATCCATCTATCTGTCTATTTATTTATTTATTTATTTATCACTAGTAGGCCTAACTATATTAAAACATTTTTTCCCAATTTTGAATTCGTTTATCTACTGTTTAAATATTATGTGTAGTATAATGCTAATTACTATTTGTCTTAGGATTGTTCTAGTAGGCCTATGGCACCTCCAAATGGTCGGAAATTGCACTCTCAGATTAAAATTTGAATACAATTTTGTCTGCTTTCTCAATTTTTTTAAATAATTGTGAAGACAATTAGGAGGTTGGGGGCCCGTGCTGACTGGGCTCCCCTGATTCCGACACTGTTTAATATAACACTTGACATAGCCTATCATTTTTTTGTTATTGAAAAATGTTTTGTATTTTTATATGAAATTTTTATCTCTTATATCTTATATATTTATTGTGTTTAGAGATTTGAATCTCTTTTTGGGAAACATGCCTCCTTTTTGTCTGTTTTTTGGTGTGTTCTTATTGTAATCTGTTGAGGCGAATAAATGAATTGAATTAAGTTTTCCAAATGATGATAATAATAATAATGATGATGATGATGATCATAATTATGATGATGATGATGATGATGATGATGATGATGATGATGATGATGTTGATGATGATGATGATGATGATGTTGTTGATGATGATGTTGATGATGATGATGATGTTGATGATGATGATGATGATGATGTTGATGATGATGATGTTGATGATGATGATGATGATGATGATGTTAATGATGATGATGTTGATGATGATGATGATGTTGGTGATGATGATGTTGATGATGATGATGTTGATGATGATGATGTTGTTGATGATGTTGATGTAGACTTGCCACAAGTCTCTAATTTATGGATTTTTCGTAGTACATTAGCGCATTTCGGAAAGCGTCACCAGCGTCAGTTTATGTTGAGAAACTTTTTTGATGAGAATTAGAAAAAGTATACTATGGAACGCCATGCAAATAGGTAATATGGAACGCCATTTGTGCCAAAATCGATTTATTCTTAAGCATTTCAACTGATTAAGACAAAGATTAGGGACTGGAACCCAGTCTAATGTTGATGATGATGATAATGATGATGATGATGATGATGATAATGATGAAAATGATGATTATGAAAATGATGATGACATTGATAATAAAATAATAAACGAGGAACATTCTGGCCAATCAGCGACGTTGATGCTACTCAAGACCCACCCCCAATGACGCCATGCTTAACAAGATCAAAACAGTACAGCACAATGCTGTTCAGTTGCATGAGCGAAGACAGATGATTGTTAATTGTGTATCAAAAGTCGAGTATGTTGTGAAAAAGAAGTCATGTCTAGATCAAGAAGGGGCCGAGAGGAAGAAACACAACCTAATAACTTTAAAACACTGGTAAGTTGTATGTTCGTTTACATGTGTTCGTAAACTTAGGCTAGGCTAGCCTGAGGATTCTTTTGTTTGCTTTGTAAGACCCCCGAGTTGTAGTCAGCCCCGATAAATTGGGCGATGTCCTCCGTGCTTGGGCTGGCTATAGCAAGCTATGATTTCTTAGCCTAGCCTACTGTATGTGTGAGTTTCATAGACGAACAAATCTATGAATTGAACTAAAAGAGGGATCTTAAGATAATATTTAACAATTTAATTTTGAAAGTTTGAATTCTGTGCTTTTGTTCAATCAATTAATTATTGATGTGGTGAATTTAGGACATAATACATATCTATATGGGTGCAGGTCAACTCGGCCACAAGTCAACTCGGCCACAGTCAACTCGGCCACAAGTCAACTCGGCCACAAATCAACTCGGCCACAAAAAGTTCGGCTGCAGTCAACTCGGCCACAAGTCAACTCGGCCACAAGTTAACTCGGCCACAAGTCAACTCGGCCACAAGTTATTTATAATTAAAATGAAATGTAGATACGGTATTACAGTTTCTGCATCCTTTTTCTTCAATATGATTAAAATGAAGTACACAGTATATTTTAGTAAAATTCTGATCATCGTCACATCGTCGTGAGATCGTTGTATACATTTCTTCACACTGTAATCTTATTCAACAGAGAATGGAATAAAATCTGACAATTGTAACATTAACAATTTAAGGAATCTTAATAATTAAGAAAAACACATATTAATGTTTAATTTTGTTCACGTTAAAACACTGACATAAAACATGAGTACATACTGTAGACCTAATCATAAAAAATTGAAATAGAAAAACCACATTATAATTTTTTTAAATGTTAAACATTTATTTTGAATCCGACTAAAATCAAATGAATGCACGATGGCGTGCATTTCGATAATATTTTCTTCAGAACCACGCCCAAGAATTAGGCCTACGTTAAAATTAGGGGGGGTGCAGCATCTGATATCAATTATCCACAATAGGAACAATTGGTATTGTTGAGTGATTTTATTTGTTCATATTTCTTTTAGGACAAACGGATTAGAATGGATCTGCCAATACCAAATTATAATTTTACTAAAATAAATGTGAATGAACGTGAATAAAAATTAAAATAGGCCTACATGTAGTGGTTCTGTAAATTTGTCAAGTATACTATACAGTGATATTAATTACAGTAGGAATAAATGAGTATGGTACCTGTCTCTTATACACGTTTATTTTTATAATAATAGTAACTAATTAGTAATAATAATAATAATTATGATACTTATAATACTAGGCCTACTTAGTAATAATAGGGTAATAATATCGATAATAAAGGTGACAACAGCAACAACAACAACAATAATAATAATAATAATAATAATAATATGAGAAAAATACCAATAAAACACCAATAACAATATTTTTAAAATTACTATTATTTTAATAATAATACTAAGACTAATATATAATAATAATATGAATTTAAAAAATTGAGAATTTTGTATTATATATATTGTAACAATAATAATATCAGCAAAAATTTAAACAATACATAATGTTAATGCTAAGACTAATAATTGATATTAAAACTAACGGTAATAAAAACAATAATAACAATGACACCAATAATAACAGCANGCAATATTATTGTGGCCGAGTTGACTTGTGGCCGAGTTAACTTGTGGCCGAGTTGACTTGTGGCCAAGTTGACTGCAGCCGAACTTTTTGTGGCCGAGTTGATTTGTGGCCGAGTTGACTTGTGGCCGAGTTGACTTGTGGCCGAGTTGGATCGAATTCATCTATATTACTAACTAGGTATCTAGGCCTGGCTCACTAGGCGGGATATGACTTCTTCGGCCGCCGACATTTTCGGCCGCCGACATTTTCGGCCGCCGACATTTTCGGCCGCCGACATTTTCGGCCGCGCGAGATTTGTATGGAGCGCCAGTTGGGCATTTCTCCACACCGCATGCTGTGGCGGCGTAAGCCTTTGTTAAACTAAATAATTGCTGTCATGTCGCACAGTAATATTTATGTATTTATTTTAGGTACATTGTACGTATATAATAATTGCTTTCATGTACAGTATTAGGGTGTCCAGAGGTAGCTTCCATACTGTGTGCCACGATAACGCTACCGCGCGCCCATCGCTAGGCACGCGCTATACTAACGCGGTGTTTCTCGTTACTGGTAAACAATTTTGATTACTAATTAGTGATGATGATAAATGAGGTATGAAAAAAATTCTTTGATTGTCTATTATTTTAATTATTTCTCTGTAATATCAAAGATTCAATATTTCCATAATGTCAAATCAGTTACGTGAAAATTAGGCCCGAAGAGAGCAAACCCATCTAGCGTGTACAGCTGCACATCAATACAGAACCACCCATGGTCAGGGCCATGCTTGTTTTCCTTCCGGTTTCTATATATGAGCCTCTCACAACCTAATAATTTTTTTTGCTCCTACGCCTAAACAAAATAGTTCTACGTGACATGTCAAATTCACTCTGCACATGTTTTTTTCTAAGTACTAAAAAAACGGTTCAATTTTGAAACAATGGATTTGATTGGTCGAACCAAACAGCATGCCCAAATTTTTCCCACTGCTGTACACAGCGCTTCGCATCGACCATGAGGAAAAATTTAGCGAGCGCTGTGAGTGTGAGCGATGTTTACGAAGGATTACTGTTGAATCTCGTAAAATTTGCTTCTGTACAATTCTTGATCATACTGAATTTACAAAGAGAAGGCCCATTATTTAAACTTGGTGTCATGTCCATACTTAATTTTAAAGATAGATATTTAGTTGATAATCACTGGACTTTCCGAACGTGTCTAGGCCTAGATCCATGCCTGTATTTTTCTCTGTACCGTAACTACACTAGGGCCCGGGGCCAACTTTATTTTTGAGGCTGACTTCTCGCCAGTTTTCTTAGGCCCTGGTTAATTAGTTATTACAGATTGAATTTTTAGTTGACAAAAATGTTTTCTATGGACATCGGACATTAATTTATGTTTCATTAACTTTTATTTTTTCATATTTCTTTCAGGACAAACGGATTAGAATTAATCTGCCAATACCAAATTATAATTTTTTTAAATGTGAATGAACATGAATAAAAATTAAAATAGGCCTACATGTAGTGGTTCTGTAAATTTGTGCAGTTTACTATACAGTGATATTAATTACAGTAGGAATAAATGAGTATGGTACCCATTAAAATTATTATTCTTCGTAGACTTTGTGACACATCACATCAATCATATTTAAAATTAGTACAAATAAATAAGACGACAAACACATTTCTTTATTGTTTGAATAATTGTGGTGATTCCCTTAATAATATATAAAAGAAGAATATATTTTGTTGTAAAATGAAATCAATATATTCTGGCTTCAAAAAACGATCGCCCTGGCCTACACGAACTCTGTACTACTTCTTTCCATATCTTCAACACACTGCCTACCGCCGTTGTGAAGGGCCGTCGTGTCACGTGCTGCTAATTTGCATATAACATCGTGAAAAAAACATCTCTTATTTTATTCAAATCAAACAATATTTCGTCAATGAAATTAGTTTATTAACATTATATTTTAAATAAAGATTCCATAAATGTATTTATTTGTATTCTGATGGCATTAATTATACAATTAATTAACACCTAATATGTGACATTCTATACAGTCGCCGATAGAGGGTGCTATTTGTTTACCTTTTCCGTGGCCAAATTCACTATATTTCCCCCATTTTTCTGGGCCATAACTCTGGAAGTAAACATCAAAAAATCGTAATTTTTGCTTTTATGAAATATTGAAAGTAAATACTATCCACCTGTAAAAGAATTAGTTTGCGAGTCGAATGTTTAGAATTCTTATCGGACACCCTAACAGTATTATTTACTTACTTATTTCAAGTATGTGGATTTCATTTATTGTAAATAAAAATTTTTAAAAAGTGTCTTACATTGAAGAATTGTAAAGCTTCAGTATTTTATTTGTTTTACAGAACAGTATTGTTATTCATTATACAATTTGAAACTGTAGGTCATGATGATGATGATGATGATGATGATGATGATGATGATGATGATGATGATGATGATGATGATGATGATGATGATGATGATGATGATGATGATGATGATGATGATGATGATGATGATGATGATGATGATGATGATGATGATGATGATGATGATGATGATGATGATGATGATGATGATGATGATGATGATGATGATGATGATGATGATGATGATGATGATGATGATGATGATGATGATGATGATGATGATGATGATGATGATGATGATGATGATGATGATGATGATGATGATGATGATGATGATGATGATGATGATGATGATGATGATGATGATGATGATGATGATGATGATGATGATGATGATGATGATGATGATGATGATGATGATGATGATGATGATGATGATGATGATGATGATGATGATGATGATGATGATGATGATGATGATGATGATGATGATGATGATGATGATGATGATGATGATGATGATGATGATGATGATGATGATGATGATGATGATGATGATGATGATGATGATGATGATGATGATGATGATGATGATGATGATGATGATGATGATGATGATGATGATGATGATGATGATGATGATGATGATGATGATGATGATGATGATGATGATGATGATGATGATGATGATGATGATGATGATGATGATGATGATGATGATGATGATGATGATGATGATGATGATGATGATGATGATGATGATGATGATGATGATGATGATGATGATGATGATGATGATGATGATGATGATGATGATGATGATGATGATGATGATGATGATGATGATGATGATGATGATGATGATGATGATGATGATGATGATGATGATGATGATGATGATGATGATGATGATGATGATGATGATGATGATGATGATGATGATGATGATGATGATGATGATGATGATGATGATGATGATGA